TGAACCACAATACTGACAAGTGATTAATAAAAGTCAAAAGACCAAAGAGGTCACCTTAATATCAAAAAAAAAATTAATAATAATTATTAATAATAATAATAATTATGTAATTTATATTACAGACTTAATTATAAATAAATAAAAAATTTTATGAGTATAAAAAAATTTTTTTTTAAAAACTTTATTAAATAATTTTTTAAAAATTTTATTGATATTTTAAAATGCCTTCTAAAAATACAAAACTTATTCCTTAGCATATTCTTGATGCTAATCCTGCTCCTGAAAATCCTGAAAATGAAACATCATGTAAAAAAACAAATCGATTAGCACGTATTCGATATGCTACTAATAAATATTATAAATTAAATCCACATTTAATTCAAGAAGAATCTCAAGCAAGTTCTTCTACTAAATCACAAACCCAACTAAACAAACTTAGAGTACAAAAATATTGAGCTTCACAAACTTTTGCACAAAAAATTGAAATAAATAAAAAACAAAAAAAAAGAATACAAACAATTCGACAACAACAAATTGAATAATTTTATAAAATTGGTCAATGTGAACTTGAAAATTATAATGAAAATAAGATTAAAGATGATGATATTGAAGCTGGATGTTAAACAATTAAAACAATGAATATAATTTGTAATTATTGTCATGCATTAAAATGGAAAAATAAACCAAATTCATTTTGTTGTATAAATGGTCAAGTTAAAATTGCATTACTTGCACCTGCTCCAAATATGCTTTATAATTTACTAACAACAAATGATCCTAATACTGATAAATTATTTGTAGAACAAATTCGAACATATAATTCAGTATTTGCATTTACTTCTTTAAAAGTAAATCTTGATGAAACATTAGCAAATGCACAAGAAGATGTTTATATATTTAGAATACAAGGAACTTTATATTATAAAATTAGTTCCTTAATACCTAAAGAAATTGAAGGAAGATATAATCCAAATTTTGCACAAATTTATTTTTATGATTCAAGTTTGGATAATCAAGTAACAAGATGAATGAAGTTAATACCAACATTAAATGAAAATATGATTCAAGCAATTCAAAATGAATTATATGAAATCAATCCATTTGTTAATGT